TACTAGACTATACATATACATGAGTCCATATCTTCTATCCCTTCACACGCTTATTGTAGAGGTAATAACAATATATTTTCTTCTAAATATGAATTTGTCCCGGCAAATTTTGTTAATGTAATTATTAATTTTTATGAATTGTGTGTGCTACTGCTAGAGGACTTTTAACTTTTTTACATTTGTTGGCAGACAGTAGCCTCAAATAAAAGGACGGTTCCGCCATAGACTTGTTATTGCCTCTACAATAAGCATGTGAAGGGATAGAAGATATGGACTCATGTTTATGTATAGTCTAGTAAGAAATATATTTTTTCTTCTAAATATGAATTTGTTCCGGCAATATGTAATTTATTTTGTTTATTTAAAAGGGAAGATCACGATGTGCTCATCACAGTTTTCAATGATATTGTTTATGTTGATAAGTTTTAGCATGAACCTTTTATTGATTAAAGGGGAAAGAGTGCTTCTGAAATGCTTTCAAGAAAATTGAGTTTAAAAAATTCTGGGTGATTTTATGAGTATTCTTTGTTTAATGCTTCAGTGATGATAGTATTGTATTAAGCATCAGCAGGTAAAACTGCATTAATTTGGAAAAAAGTTTATTCACAGAAATATGAACCAGTAATCTCACAATTACCAGTCAGGCCCACTGCTGCTAGACCACAGATTAAAAAGATTTTGCAAAAAAAATTTTCGTAAGTTGTTCAGGATTATTTAACTTTAATATTCATGAAAACATTTGAGAATTGTCCTTTCTTATTTTGCTCAATAAAGGTTTATACAAACATTTATCTACATAAACAATATCATTGAAAACTGTGATGACTAAATTGTGACCTCTCCTTTTTAGATAAACTCTTCATATGATGATTATTTCAGAATGAATATGAATATATTTATAAGTTTAAATGATTTTATTAAATTTTTTACTCAAGTAATACAGTTTACTCTGATTTTCTTTGTAAATTATATATTTTGTTTTTGTGTGTGTGTATGCTGGTTTCTTCATAGTTGTGAATTTTAAATCAAAAAATAAAAAACTAAATATTTTACGCTTGCATTATATATTGTTTGATAAGTATTATAATATAATTTACATATAGTAGTTTACAGTAGCAAGCTTAAGAACACTTATGTTTGCGAACAAAAATGTAATAATTGTACAATTATTACATTTTTGATGAATTATTAGAACTGTTTATAAAAATTATATTATTGCATTAAAAATTTTTTTCTTTTGTTTTATGCTGTACAGTGGTGCACCCAGAGGAGGTCAAGGGGCCCTGGCAGCCTCCAAAGAGAAAGGAAAACAAACACTAGAAAATTTTACATAAATCTTTTCCTAATTAAAATTTATTTTTTTATTTATACTGTGTTATATCTTCTAGTTTGTACTACTAATGAATTAGCAGTCACATAAGGTGGGGATTTTATTGAATTTGCATTAAAAATTTTTTTATTCATTTACTCAGCTTTCTCAAGATTAAATCCTGAGTGTGCCACTGATGCTGTTATTTAATTTTATATTTTTTAATAGAAATTCAAAATTGATTCTTATTTATTTAAATATTGGTGCATTTTACATTAATATAATGCTAATATGAATGATATTTTAATAAGATTTGTGTACCATATTATTTAAGTGTAATAAAGCATTAAACTTTGTTTAGGTTTGGACAATTTTGTATATTTTGAAATGAAAATTTTTCATTAAAGATCAGATAAAAATATATTTATTGATATATGCAGAAATAAAGTTTTTGAATATAAGTAATTTGTATTATTAATTTTACTTTAAGAAAGTAGAGACAAATGTCATTATATAACAGAAGAATAGACAGACATAAAAATATATTTTATAATATGCACAGTATTATATTGTTTTCATTTAAAATTATGTTGAAACAAACTTTTCTGTCATGCTTTTATAATATAAGAATTCAAAACATTATATAAAAAACAAGCTGATAAAATTAAATGTTATGTAATGCTGGTAGTTGCATATAAAGGACTAAATTCATACATAAATCCAAGAAAAACATTTAAAAAAATATCAAGTTTACTCATTTGGAGTATGGTAATACTTTAAATTATCAAAATTTGAATTATCTAAGGTAATTTTAATTTATTTAGTGTACTAATAAAGTAAAACTATTATAATAATTACAAAAATATTTTATTACCAATAATTAAAAAAAATTAAACTTTTATTGATAAAATTAAAGAAAATGGCCATTCAAATATATATAACAAGATAATTTGTTTAATTACTGCTCTTTATTAACAGCTTTTTGTCATTTTTCGATGAAATTTGTATTTGTATATTTTTATATATATTATTACTATAATAAAATCAATTATTAAAAAAAAAATTTATACACTAACAGTAATGATATTTATTACATTAATAAGAGTTTTTCTAATTCTGTCAAAATAATTGTATTTAAATACTATTAAATATTTTATTATATTGTATTATAAATAATTAATTTTGATATCAGCATTAGGATAATTAGTAGCATCAATTTTCTGTTTATTTAAGTAAAACTGTATTGTGACAAATTTTTATCTTTAACTAATAATTTAGCAGTAGTAAATCAAATTTTATTGTATAATTGAAAGGTATATGATTAGTTTTGTTTGTATTATTAATTGAATTAATTTAATAAATGATTGTTATAAAATATATTCTGAAAATTATTAAGAAATACTACTAAATTCAGATATATTTCACACTGTATTTAAGTGACATTCCAATAATTTACAATTAAAATTAAATAAATTACTTTTGACTTTTAAGTCAAGAAGACACTGTCATTACCAAGGTCAAGTCAGAGGATACCCTAATTCTTGGGCAGCTATTAGTACTTGTAAGGGAATAAGGTGAGCTTTAAACTTTATATAAAAATTGCTTCTTGTCCTTATTATTTAGTTTTAATTTTTAAGCATCTATAACAGCTTAAGCTATACAGCATCTACATGAATAATTTTCTAAAAAATGGTGTGATAAGTCCTTAAATTTTAGCTGTCATAGATACTTAAAAATTGAAGCTTTAAACTTGTTTTTAATATTTTAAAAGTTTAATTAAGCATATTTTTCAAATGTTAAGTCATCAATGGTTAAGTAATTTTCTAACATAATTTTACTGACATCAAAAAGCAAATGCCATTGCTTAGGAAACTGTGGGAAAGTTCTAAAGTAAAAAAAAAATAGCATATGGTCATACAGTATGTGCATATGGATTATATTGATAACATCCTTTAAATGTATCAATGCACATGTGGCATTTAAGATGCTTTAAAAAACACAGCACACAAATTAAAGATTATCAGATGACATTTTAATTATCTTTTCAGTGGTATGGTATTTGATGGCAATGAAACATATTATGTTCATCCTGTTAATGACAGCAGTCATCTTTTATTAAAAGCATCTGATTGGAAATCAAAAAATCTTACATGTGGTAAGTTTGTTTTAAAGGTAATTACTGTTAAAAGATAACTAGTTTTAATTTTTTTTATATGATGAAAATAAGATATTATAAGTGATATATTTATTCAGTTTTATAATTTATAAAGATTTGTTAAATACTGTATTTATTTTTTTCTTTTAGCATTAATGAAATTACTGTATTACAATAAGTTTTAAGTTTCATTTTAAGATTTGCTGAAAAGATAAGTATATTTTATTTAAATATACTTATCTTTTCAGAAGTTCTATATGAATGTATCTTTATATCATCTCCATATTTATAAAAAATCTACCACACTTTTAAATTTTTTATTAAACAAAGAAGGCATTCTTAAATTTTAGGTATAAGAGTATCATCTATATAACACATATATATTATTTTAAACACAATTTATTTCACAATATACAATTGCTGTTGTCATTATATTAATGAAAACAAAATAATTTTAGAAAAAATGTAATATTTTTATAACTCTAATTAATAAAAGTTACAATAAATTATTAATTAAAAATTTGATAGACTTTTCTCATTAGCAACGTGATTGCAATGTCAAATCAAAATTACATTCTCTGTCAAGTTAATGGATTAAATATGATTAAATACTTTTGTTTGATTAGATTTTTGTAATTATTGCTAATGACTTATTATTATTTTTTTAAGTATTTATCAGTTTTGAAAATAGAATATATAAAAACAGAATGTATATTGTTAAAATAAATTTTTGCTAATAATTTATGAGAAATATGAGAAGTCTGTAGAATAAAACTAATTTTATAATATACATTAATTACAAATGAAATTTATTATTAATATTCACAATTTTTTGAATAAATATTTAAACTGCAAAATGAAATCTAATTATACTGTGTTGATCCATAATGTTGTATAATTATGTTAATGTTATCATATCATATTAATATGATAATATCAATATAATCCATTAACATAACATAATTAGATTTCAATTTAAATATATTGTAATTGAATTAAAATAATTTTGTGGGATAGTTTCATGTGCCCATTAAATAATATATTCTGGAATGAATCATATAAACTTATTTTTAAAAATTACATTTTAATAGAAAATCATTCTCTACATTTCAGATTTAATATACAGTAAGACTTTGCTTAACATGGAGGATGCGTTCCTAGACAACAAAGCGCTAAATGAAACAGCATTAAACGAGGTCATTTTAACTTAGAGTAAATAGGGATAGGGGAACACATGACCAAAAATAAACAAATTTTACTTTAATTTTAAGTTATTTTTATATTAATATGTATAATAATATATGTTAAATAACACATAAACATATGCACACAGAAATGTATAATAATATATTAATTAGTTTATTTTTTCTATATTAATAGTTTATTTTTTGTGACAAAAGTCCTGCCTTTTCTGAAATTCTTGTTTTTTTTTCAATAAAGTTGTAAAGTTTCATTTGTCGCTTTTTTCTTTCCTTAATTAAGCAAATGTTGGTAGCAGAAGATTGCATCCAAAACACCTCGTTTTGCTTTTGCATTCCTTTCAAAATCTGGATCATTCACTACAATTTGGTCAATGATTTCGGTTATCTTACCAAACTTTTACTAAGGAAATCTGTAGAGAAATTTTTTGGGTTCTTCGTTTTCAGAATCTCTATTTTCCAGTTCTACATGAATTCCTTGTTCTGCCAGTTCTTGAAGGTTGTTGTTGGTAAGGCTCTCACCAGAAACCTGCTGTAACTCCTCAATATCCTGCTTGTCTACATTTCATAGTCCTGCTGTATTGATTAGGTTGAGTTTGGTCCACCTAACGATACAGAAATAGGCTCCTCTTGTTGAGAATTCTTGGATATCTTCAGCTATAACTTCTTCCACACTTTGTTCGTGTATTTATCAGTTAATTCTTGCCAAGTGAAGTTGATATTTCCTATGGATCCATGATGTTATATTTTTTCCAAAATTGCACAAAACAAACATAGATTTAAAGAAAGTACACCTTTTTTCCACCTTTTTCTGATTGGATCATGTTTGTAAATAATTTTATTATATATGAATCAATGAAATGCTGTGATAATTTACATCAGTGTAAATTTTGAGCTTTTTTTAGGCTTTGAGCAGACGGCATTATATAGAATCAGCATTAAGTGAGGCAGTGTTAAGCGGGATCTTACTGTATATTAATATATCTATCTATTTTATTTTTCATTAGAGTATATCTATTAAATATGAATTATTGTTTAGACTTTAATTATACTTTATATCAGGTTGTAATGGTAAAAGTTAGACATTCTGAAAAAAAGACTTTGACAATTAACTGAACAACAATTACAGTTCAGTCTTTTAGATAATCACCATTAATATAAATGATATCTCATCATCTTTCAATCCTGTAATCATAGAATGATGGGTTTTTCTTTGAAGAAAATCTTGAGTGTTATTCCCACATGGATATTGTCATTGAACTATGTATATTGGCATGAAATAGATGGTAGTCAGTTGGTGGCAAGAGTGGCTGTAAAGTGGATGAGGCAGAACTACCCAACCCAGACTGATCAGCTTCTCTAAGATCATCTTTGCTCTGTGTGTTGCTGTATTATTGCAGTGGTGTCAGACTGTCAATTTTTGCAGTTTATGAGAATACTCAAGTTGTTGTGCTAATTCTCTGATGGTCAACTGTGGATTTATTATCTAACAATTGCAAGAAAATGTCATCATCAGTGGTGGAATTACTGTCTGGATGGAGTTTGTCTTTTAGCAAGAAATCCCTCCTTCATCCATTTTTAACAGGTCTGCTTATTGACTGTCTTCACCAAATACCTTGTAGATAAAATTGTGAGCCTTTGTTGTATTGTGGTCACTTTTAAAGTGATGAAGTAACAGCACAAGAACACATTCTTTTGAAAGTTTCATATTGTCAGACATTGCTGACTCGTGTATTTTCAATGAAATATGTGATGAAATACCCTCATCCTATATTATAATTTATAAATCTTGGTAATAAGTAAATATTATGTTTGTAAAAATTAAAGTAATATTTTATATTTAGTATGTAATTTGTCTACAAGAACTTTTATTACTAAGACTTATTATACTGGTGACTTGATTCTGCAATTCAAGAAAACATATCAGAAAAAACAGTCTTTATTTTTTACCTGAACACACATTACATGATATCATTGTGTTTCGGACCTGTCAGTCACTCATCAGCAAGTTTATGACCAACAATTTCTAAAATAAAAAATAAAATTACTACAAAATTTATAATGTTTTCTTGAATTGCAGAAACAAGTCACCAGAATAAGTCCTAGTAATAAAATAAAAGTCCTTGTAGACAAATTATGTACTAAACATAAGATAAGGACACAAAGGCATATTATTTAATATTTTATATATTCATGTAAAGTACAGAAAAAATAAAATATTTACTGTCAACTTGAGATTAAAAGAAAAGAGAGAAAACAGATCATAATGAGTGAGATTTACAAGCTATTGTTATCTGAATTAAAGATATAGTTTGATATCTTAATTATTTGCTTATTGGCTATGTTTGTCTGGAGATAGTGATATATTTAATTAACTAAGTATGTGGTCTGTTTATAAAATATATTAAAGTTTTGTTTTTAGCTGTTTAGTCAACATGAGGATTAAAAATGACAAAGCATTTGCTAAGTATATAGTGCATTTCTGCAAAAATGTGAGTGTATGTAATATGGAAAAAATCTTAAAATATTGTAATGCAAGAGGCAAATTCTTCAAAACCATTCATAGAATCATTAACAGATATAAAGACACTTATGAAGTCAAGTTCCAAAAAAATTCTGGCTTTCCTGCAAAGATTTCAACTAAAAAAGTGACAGATAAGGTGAAAGAACTATTTGAGAGAGATCTGAATTTTTCTTCATGATGCAACAAGGAGACTCAAGTTAAAAAATAATCAACTGTTGACTATATCAAAATTCACAAATTGAAAATTCTGGCAAGAGTAAAAACTGAAATTCTGAAGTACTCAAGTGACCAAGAAAAACACATGCAAAAACTGGTGTTCAAAATATTACAATACATATTGCCAGAAAATTTTGATACTGGATGATAGCTGTATGTGTCCTAGTGATCTAAAATGTTTCAGATTAGAAATATTTCTGTAGCTCCAACCTAGAGCAAGTTGATTTCAGTACAAGTTTAAGGGAAAAGTCTAATTTCCAAAGCAGCATTTGATTTGTCAAGCAATAGATGAGGTTGTAATGTATCACTTCTTTATTTTGCATGCAGTTCTGTGAATGGTAAAATGTACTTAGAAGAATGTTTGAAGAAGGAATTGTTATCATAAATATGTCATCTTCACAATATTGATAGTTTTATCTTGGCCTAATATGACAACATGTCTTTATGTGAAAGATACCATTCAGTAGTTGGAAAGGGTGAAGCTTGATTTTGAGCATAAAGATGAAAACACCTCAAACATTCCTCAAGTGTGTGGCATTGAAAAATTTTGGACTACCCTCAAAGATAAATACTAGGAAGGAAACAAAAGTTTTACAAAAATTATGTAGAAAATCAGTAAACAAGTCATAAAATATTCTGGAAATAAATTATGAAGGCTACCTGGAAAATATTCTGTCTGAGTAGAAAATATGGTGTCCACTAATTGTTTGAACTAATATATTAATATTTAGGTCAACTGATGCAGTTTGCCTCATAATACAAGTTAGGTGAGCAATTATTTTAGGAAATACAATATTAATCTTTAAAAGCATTTTTTGTTCTTTATTTTGTTTTAATAAATGTTTTTTGAAATTTTTTGAGGGACTTGGCTGATTTGTTTTCAAGTGTCTTTTAAGAGTTTGAACACTGCAAAAGTTTTGCTACAAATTACACAAAATGATGAGTGCTTGTGATTAACTGTATAATGTGGAAATTCATAAATCCATCCATCCACATCTATTTTAAAAATTCTGTAACATTTTTTTCTTTTGGCATTGTTAATAAACACATACAAATTTACTAACTATTTATTATTGATTATGATTGATAATTGATTGAGTGGTGTCTATATTTTTAAAGATTTTTTTAAGCAGAGGAATAATGCTTATGTAAAAGTGTATACATGACCACATAAGAATTAATGACCCCACTTGGAGTTATGACCTTATATTTGGAAAGCACTGTTACACACTGCTGTGTTAATATAATGAATGAAAAATGATTAAAAGTACAAAAAAAGTGGATACAATAAAATAAAATAAAATGAATTGGTAAATAAGATAATCATCTGTACACTTTGCATTAGAGAACCTTATCAGAATTTTGAGAATTTTGATTAAAATTTTTGACTGTCTGTATTTATTTATTTATTTATTTATTTTTGGCCATGATACCAGTGTTTTTCAAAATTACATATTCAGAGCTCTGTGTAAAAGTCTAAATTGATTTCAAAACATTAGGTTTTTATTTATAAATTGCATTTTATTCTTTAGATAGCATTTAATTTTCTTTATAAAAGAGAATCAATAAATTATTTCTAACCAGCATTATGACTTTTTACAGATAATTTATAATTTCAATAATATTAATTTATTAAAAAAGTAATTTAAACTAACTAACTAAATTTATTATTTTAATACAGTTTAATTATTAAAGGTGATTTTATCTAATTTTGATGTAAAAATTTAAATTTAAATATTGATTTTACATTATTTTAAAAGCAAAAATTAGAACAAGCTTTAAATAAATCTGAAACAAAGAAATATTGACAGTATCTTTAATACATATTTTAGTTTATACTTCTTGCCAATGGTATATACTGTACAAGGTGGTCCTATTCAAAATTTGGTGTTAAAGCTAATTGAGATGATATTATCTGGATTGATAGCTAACTTAATGAGAATGTAGGAAAGCAATTGAATCATTGGTGTAGCTAGGTCTTGTATTGTTCAGAACTGTCCTTGAGCTTGCTGCCCCATGAAAAATTTAACATAATGTGAATTAAACATACTTAGAGAGGAAGTGAAAAAATTGTGTAACGACAGGTAAAAATTTGAAAAAAAAAATGTTAGGATGCTGTTACCATTGTTGTTATAAATTAAGCACAACTAAGTATTTAAGTAAGTTGATGGTCAATAAGGCTACATTACAAATTTCTCCGTATCGTAAAATTGTAATTCTAAATTGTAAAATTATATTGTCAAAAATATAATCAATTTTATTTAAAAACTTAATAAATAGAAACTAGTGTCATAAGAAAATTATTTTTTAGTTTAATTATATTTGTTCAGTGAGATTAATCAGAAGTTTTGTTATAAGAAAATTTTTCATAAGAACATTTTAAATATAAGTCTTAACATGGTTTGAAATTTAATGTTAATTTATATTAAAGTTATAACTAAAATTAAAAATATTTAAAATTTTAGGTTATAATGTATCTTATGATGATAAATTAAGATCTCAAATATTGGATGGATTAAATAGAGTAAGTGCAGCAATTTGTTGTATTTTTAGATAATAAAATTAATTGATTGTTTTAACTTTGAATTTAATTTCTCATTTGATTTTTTTAGCGTCGAAGATCAACAGTTTTGCAGCCTCCACCTGGCTCTGATAGTAATTCTAGATATGTTGAACTTATTCTTGTAAATGATTTTAAAGAAGTGAGTAAATATTTTTAAGAGATTTTTGAATATTGTGAGAGAATTTTTGTAATTATAGTAAATAAATATTACTATTTAAAAAGCAATTTAATTTAACTAATATAAATTATTAATAGCAGAGAAATTTAAAATACATTTAATAATAAATAAATAAAAATAAAAAAGTCAACTCCAACTCTGACCAGGGGTGGACTTGTTACCAAAATAGACTCAGAAATTCTGATTTCATCACGTGACCTAAGAATAAAATATTCAAAAAATAGAGTTTTAATAAAGATAGAATATAGAAACTTTTTATTCCAAAGCTAATAATAAGCTAATAATAATTGCTAGACCATGTTATGTTATAATTAATACACTTATTTGCAATATGTATATTAATCATGTAGACCGAAATAATACTTGTTATTGTGAAATTGTATTCCCCTTAATAGGGAAAATTTTCCTTGGAAATAAAATATTATTATTATTCCAAAGCTAAAAAACTCCTCTAAGTAATGACACAGTCAATATATAAATATGTATTCGATAAATTTTACTTTCCTGGTTGTTATATATAACAGAGGGAAAGTGTAGCAATCTGTCATAAAAATGACCCCTCCTAAATTTGTACATTTTTGGACTCAGGACACCTTGAAATGTCGAGATATGCGAAAGATTTGGTTTTTTTCCTGTATGTATGGATGCTAGACTGTGTGGGGAGACGACTTTGTTCACCCTGTTTGAATCCTCATAACTTCTGTGGTTTTTAAATCAGAGTCGGATGGTTTAACACAGGCGTTATTAAGCTTTAAAGTGGTTAAACTAAATCGTGCTCTCATACACATTCTAACATCTTAGTCGAGAACATCTTAATGGGTTTTACTGTACTATTATAAAATGACAAAAAGCTTAATTTTGATGGTAGAGATGAGTTTTATTTAAAAAAAAGTTGTGAATGCTAATAAAGACCCATTCTATGTCTCCATCCTGTTGACCTTTAATTAAGAACAAAAATTTAATAGCATTAATGCCCCTTTGTACACAAGCTACAGTGCCAAATTTTGTTTCCTAAACTTATGTAGAGATACTTATCTTACACATGAGATATTGTTTAATATTTCAGCACAAAGAATAAAGAAATTAAACAATTAGACGCCAACACACACGTGCGTGAATTTTTCTGCTTTAATTGACATTTATTTTGGGTTCAGGAGGTCTTCAAACATGTAGATTTGCAAAAAACTTGGAGGGTCAAATTTGACACGATTCCAATATGTTCCATTTTATATACATAACAAGTTGGAAAGTAAAAAGGAGTCACTATATTGTGTCTGTATAAAGCAAAGTAAAATTAACAACACAGTTTCATAGGAATTAAAAATAAAAAAGAGTCGGAGTCGGTGGATTTTTTAATGACTATGACTCTGACTAAAGCACCAAAATTCCATGACTCCGACTCCATAGCCCTGTTATAAACAATTTTTCCAGTAAATTCCAAAAAAATGTTGACATGTTGTTATATTATGCTGTAAATACATCTAAATTGTATTTCAAATAATAATGGAAAGTTAAAAGATAATTTTTATCTTATTTAATGAGTTTGGAATTGTCAGAAATTGATTGTAATTTAGATTTGAGAGTATAACATTTTTGTAATTATTGTCATTATTGATGATGTAGAAAGTTAGTTAATACTTGATTACTTTTTTTTTCACTTTGCTTTGTTCATTAGCGCATACTGTAACTCAGTGGAACTATGTAACGGATATGCTCCTGTAATGCTCACTGCAGGGCAGGACTTTGTACCTTGTTTTAAATGTACAATTAAACTAATGAATGAATGAATACTTGATTACTTAATACTTTTTCCTGTATTTTAAATAGTTTGAACTTTTTAACCTTACAGTATATGATAAAAATTTCAAGTTTAGAAATATACTTTGCTTTATTATTAAAGAAAACTTTATGCTTTACTGGTGATGATTTTTTCTTGAATAGTAATGTTTATTACAAATTTTGAATAAATATAGNGCAAGTTTATGACCAACAATTTCTAAAATAAAAAATAAAATTACTACAAAATTTATAATGTTTTCTTGAATTGCAGAAACAAGTCACCAGAATAAGTCCTATCCATAATGTTGTATAATTATGTTAATGTTATCATATCATATTAATATGATAATATCAATATAATCCATTAACATTACCATAATGTTGTATAATTATGTTAATGTTATCATATCATATTAATATGATAATATCAATATAATCCATTAACATAACATAATTAGATTTCAATTTAAATATATTGTAATTGAATTAAAATAATTTTGTGGGATAGTTTCATGTGCCCATTAAATAATATATTCTGGAATGAATCATATAAACTTATTTTTAAAAATTACATTTTAATAGAAAATCATTCTCTACATTTCAGATTTAATATACAGTAAGACTTTGCTTAACATGGAGGATGCGTTCCTAGACAACAAAGCGCTAAATGAAACAGCATTAAACGAGGTCATTTTAACTTAGAGTAAATAGGGATAGGGGAACACATGACCAAAAATAAACAAATTTTACTTTAATTTTAAGTTATTTTTATATTAATATGTATAATAATATATGTTAAATAACACATAAACATATGCACACAGAAATGTATAATAATATATTAATTAGTTTATTTTTTCTATATTAATAGTTTATTTTTTGTGACAAAAGTCCTGCCTTTTCTGAAATTCTTGTTTTTTTTTCAATAAAGTTGTAAAGTTTCATTTGTCGCTTTTTTCTTTCCTTAATTAAGCAAATGTTGGTAGCAGAAGATTGCATCCAAAACACCTCGTTTTGCTTTTGCATTCCTTTCAAAATCTGGATCATTCACTACAATTTGGTCAATGATTTCGGTTATCTTACCAAACTTTTACTAAGGAAATCTGTAGAGAAATTTTTTGGGTTCTTCGTTTTCAGAATCTCTATTTTCCAGTTCTACATGAATTCCTTGTTCTGCCAGTTCTTGAAGGTTGTTGTTGGTAAGGCTCTCACCAGAAACCTGCTGTAACTCCTCAATATCCTGCTTGTCTACATTTCATAGTCCTGCTGTATTGATTAGGTTGAGTTTGGTCCACCTAACGATACAGAAATAGGCTCCTCTTGTTGAGAATTCTTGGATATCTTCAGCTATAACTTCTTCCACACTTTGTTCGTGTATTTATCAGTTAATTCTTGCCAAGTGAAGTTGATATTTCCTATGGATCCATGATGTTATATTTTTTCCAAAATTGCACAAAACAAACATAGATTTAAAGAAAGTACACCTTTTTTCCACCTTTTTCTGATTGGATCATGTTTGTAAATAATTGTATTATATATGAATCAATGAAATGCTGTGATAATTTACATCAGTGTAAATTTTGAGCTTTTTTTAGGCTTTGAGCAGACGGCATTATATAGAATCAGCATTAAGTGAGGCAGTGTTAAGCGGGATCTTACTGTATATTAATATATCTATCTATTTTATTTTTCATTAGAGTATATCTATTAAATATGAATTATTGTTTAGACTTTAATTATACTTTATATCAGGTTGTAATGGTAAAAGTTAGACATTCTGAAAAAAAGACTTTGACAATTAACTGAACAACAATTACAGTTCAGTCTTTTAGATAATCACCATTAATATAAATGATATCTCATCATCTTTCAATCCTGTAATCATAGAATGATGGGTTTTTCTTTGAAGAAAATCTTGAGTGTTATTCCCACATGGATATTGTCATTGAACTATGTATATTGGCATGAAATAGATGGTAGTCAGTTGGTGGCAAGAGTGGCTGTAAAGTGGATGAGGCAGAACTACCCAACCCAGACTGATCAGCTTCTCTAAGATCATCTTTGCTCTGTGTGTTGGTGTATTATTGCAGTGGTGTCAGACTGTCAATTTTTGCAGTTTATGAGAATACTCAAGTTGTTGTGCTAATTCTCTGATGGTCAACTGTGGATTTATTATCTAACAATTGCAAGAAAATGTCATCATCAGTGGTGGAATTACTGTCTGGATGGAGTTTGTCTTTTAGCAAGAAATCCCTCCTTCATCCATTTTTAACAGGTCTGCTTATTGACTGTCTTCACCAAATACCTTGTAGATAAAATTGTGAGCCTTTGTTGTATTGTGGTCACTTTTAAAGTGATGAAGTAACAGCACAAGAACACATTCTTTTGAAAGTTTCATATTGTCAGACATTGCTGACTCGTGTATTTTCAATGAAATATGTGATGAAATACCCTCATCCTATATTATAATTTATAAATCTTGGTAATAAGTAAATATTATGTTTGTAAAAATTAAAGTAATATTTTATATTTAGTATGTAATTTGTCTACAAGAACTTTTATTACTAAGACTTATTATACTGGTGACTTGATTCTGCAATTCAAGAAAACATATCAGAAAAAACAGTCTTTATTTTTTACCTGAACACACATTACATGATATCATTGTGTTTCGGACCTGTCAGTCACTCATCAGCAAGTTTATGACCAACAATTTCTAAAATAAAAAATAAAATTACTACAAAATTTATAATGTTTTCTTGAATTGCAGAAACAAGTCACCAGAATAAGTCCTAGTAATAAAATAAAAGTCCTTGTAGACAAATTATGTACTAAACATAAGATAAGGACACAAAGGCATATTATTTAATATTTTATATATTCATGTAAAGTACAGAAAAAATAAAATATTTACTGTCAACTTGAGATTAAAAGAAAAGAGAGAAAACAGATCATAATGAGTGAGATTTACAAGCTATTGTTATCTGAATTAAAGATATAGTTTGATATCTTAATTATTTGCTTATTGGCTATGTTTGTCTGGAGATAGTGATATATTTAATTAACTAAGTATGTGGTCTGTTTATAAAATATATTAAAGTTTTGTTTTTAGCTGTTTAGTCAACATGAGGATTAAAAATGACAAAGCATTTGCTAAGTATATAGTGCATTTCTGCAAAAATGTGAGTGTATGTAATATGGAAAAAATCTTAAAATATTGTAATGCAAGAGGCAAATTCTTCAAAACCATTCATAGAATCATTAACAGATATAAAGACACTTATGAAGTCAAGTTCCAAAAAAATTCTGGCTTTCCTGCAAAGATTTCAACTAAAAAAGTGACAGATAAGGTGAAAGAACTATTTGAGAGAGATCTGAATTTTTCTTCATGATGCAACAAGGAGACTCAAGTTAAAAAATAATCAACTGTTGACTATATCAAAATTCACAAATTGAAAATTCTGGCAAGAGTAAAAACTGAAATTCTGAAGTACTCAAGTGACCAAGAAAAACACATGCAAAAACTGGTGTTCAAAATATTACAATACATATTGCCAGAAAATTTTGATACTGGATGATAGCTGTATGTGTCCTAGTGATCTAAAATGTTTCAGATTAGAAATATTTCTGTAGCTCCAACCTAGAGCAAGTTGATTTCAGTACAAGTTTAAGGGAAAAGTCTAATTTCCAAAGCAGCATTTGATTTGTCAAGCAATAGATGAGGTTGTAATGTATCACTTCTTTATTTTGCATGCAGTTCTGTGAATGGTAAAATGTACTTAGAAGAATGTTTGAAGAAGGAATTGTTATCATAAATATGTCATCTTCACAATATTGATAGTTTTATCTTGGCCTAACATGACAACATGTCTTTATGTGAAAGATACCATTCAGTAGTTGGAAAGGGTGAAGCTTGATTTTGAGCATAAAGATGAAAACACCTCAAACATTCCTCAAGTGTGTGGCATTGAAAAATTTTGGACTACCCTCAAAGATAAATACTAGGAAGGAAACAAAAGTTTTACAAAAATTATGTAGAAAATCAGTAAACAAGTCATAAAATATTCTGGAAATAAATTATGAAGGCTACCTGGAAAATATTCTGTCTGAGTAGAAAATATGGTGTCCACTAATTGTTTGAACTAATATATTAATATTTAGGTCAACTGATGCAGTTTGCCTCATAATACAAGTTAGGTGAGCAATTATTTTAGGAAATACAATATTAATCTTTAAAAGCATTTTTTGTTCTTTATTTTGTTTTAATAAATGTTTTTTGAAATTTTTTGAGGGACTTGGCTGATTTGTTTTCAAGTGTCTTTTAAGAGTTTGAACACTGCAAAAGTTTTGCTACAAATTACACAAAATGATGAGTGCTTGTGATTAACTGTATAATGTGGAAATTCATAAATCCATCCATCCACATCTATTTTAAAAATTCTGTAACATTTTTTTCTTTTGGCATTGTTAATAAACACATACAAATTTACTAACTATTTATTATTGATTATGATTGATAATTGATTGAGTGGTGTCTATATTTTTAAAGATTTTTTTAAGCAGAGGAATAATGCTTATGTAAAAGTGTATACATGACCACATAAGAATTAATGACCCCACTTGGAGTTATGACCTTATATTTGGAAAGCACTGTTACACACTGCTGTGTTAATATAATGAATGAAAAATGATTAAAAGTACAAAAAAAGTGGATACAATAAAATAAAATAAAATGAATTGGTAAATAAGATAATCATCTGTACACTTTGCATTAGAGAACCTTATCAGAATTTTGAGAATTTTGATTAAAATTTTTGACTGTCTGTATTTATTTATTTATTTATTTATTTTTGGCCATGATACCAGTGTTTTTCAAAATTACATATTCAGAGCTCTGTGTAAAAGTCTAAATTGATTTCAAAACATTAGGTTTTTATTTATAAATTGCATTTTATTCTTTAGATAGCATTTAATTTTCTTTATAAAAGAGAATCAATAAATTATTTCTAACCAGCATTATGACTTTTTACAGATAATTTATAATTTCAATAATATTAATTTATTAAAAAAGTAATTTAAACTAACTAACTAAATTTATTATTTTAATACAGTTTAATTATTAAAGGTGATTTTATCTAATTTTGATGTAAAAATTTAAATTTAAATATTGATTTTACATTATTTTAAAAGCAAAAATTAGAACAAGCTTTAAATAAATCTGAAACAAAGAAATATTGACAGTATCTTTAATACATATTTTAGTTTATACTTCTTGCCAATGGTATATACTGTACAAGGTGGTCCTATTCAAAATTTGGTGTTAAAGCTAATTGAGATGATATTATCTGGATTGATAGCTAACTTAATGAGAATGTAGGAAAGCAATTGAATCATTGGTGTAGCTAGGTCTTGTATTGTTCAGAACTGTCCTTGAGCTTGCTGCCCCATGAAAAATTTAACATAATGTGAATTAAACATACTTAGAGAGGAAGTGAAAAAATTGTGTAACGACAGGTAAAAATTTGAAAAAAAAAATGTTAGGATGCTGTTACCATTGTTGTTATAAATTAAGCACAACTAAGTATTTAAGTAAGTTGATGGTCAATAAGGCTACATTACAAATTTCTCCGTATCGTAAAATTGTAATTCTAAATTGTAAAATTATATTGTCAAAAATATAATCAATTTTATTTAAAAACTTAATAAATAGAAACTAGTGTCATAAGAAAATTATTTTTTAGTTTAATTATATTTGTTCAGTGAGATTAATCAGAAGTTTTGTTATAAGAAAATTTTTCATAAGAACATTTTAAATATAAGTCTTAACATGGTTTGAAATTTAATGTTAATTTATATTAAAGTTATAACTAAAATTAAAAATATTTAAAATTTTAGGTTATAATGTATCTTATGATGATAAATTAAGATCTCAAATATTGGATGGATTAAATAGAGTAAGTGCAGCAATTTGTTGTATTTTTAGATAATAAAATTAATTGATTGTTTTAACTTTGAATTTAATTTCTCATTTGATTTTTTTAGCGTCGAAGATCAACAGTTTTGCAGCCTCCACCTGGCTCTGATAGTAATTCTAGATATGTTGAACTTATTCTTGTAAATGATTTTAAAGAAGTGAGTAAATATTTTTAAGAGATTTTTGAATATTGTGAGAGAATTTTTGTAATTATAGTAAATAAATATTACTATTTAAAAAGCAATTTAATTTAACTAATATAAATTATTAATAGCAGAGAAATTTAAAATACATTTAATAATAAATAAATAAAAATAAAAAAGTCAACTCCAACTCTGACCAGGGGTGGACTTGTTACCAAAATAGACTCAGAAATTCTGATTTCATCACGTGACCTAAGAATAAAATATTCAAAAAATAGAGTTTTAATAAAGATAGAATATAGAAACTTTTTATTCCAAAGCTAATAATAAGCTAATAATAATTGCTAGACCATGTTATGTTATAATTAATACACTTATTTGCAATATGTATATTAATCATGTAGACCGAAATAATACTTGTTATTGTGAAATTGTATTCCCCTTAATAGGGAAAATTTTCCTTGGAAATAAAATATTATTATTATTCCAAAGCTAAAAAACTCCTCTAAGTAATGACACAGTCAATATATAAATATGTATTCGATAAATTTTACTTTCCTGGTTGTTATATATAACAGAGGGAAAGTGTAGCAATCTGTCATAAAAATGACCCCTCCTAAATTTGTACATTTTTGGACTCAGGACACCTTGAAATGTCGAGATATGCGAAAGATTTGGTTTTTTTCCTGTATGTATGGATGCTAGACTGTGTGGGGAGACGACTTTGTTCACCCTGTTTGAATCCTCATAACTTCTGTGGTTTTTAAATCAGAGTCGGATGGTTTAACACAGGCGTTATTAAGCTTTAAAGTGGTTAAACTAAATCGTGCTCTCATACACATTCTAACATCTTAGTCGAGAACATCTTAATGGGTTTTACTGTACTATTATAAAATGACAAAAAGCTTAATTTTGATGGTAGAGATGAGTTTTATTTAAAAAAAAGTTGTGAATGCTAATAAAGACCCATTCTATGTCTCCATCCTGTTGACCTTTAATTAAGAACAAAAATTTAATAGCATTAATGCCCCTTTGTACACAAGCTACAGTGCCAAATTTTGTTTCCTAAACTTATGTAGAGATACTTATCTTACACATGAGATATTGTTTAATATTTCAGCACAAAGAATAAAGAAATTAAACAATTAGACGCCAACACACACGTGCGTGAATTTTTCTGCTTTAATTGACATTTATTTTGGGTTCAGGAGGTCTTCAAACATGTAGATTTGCAAAAAACTTGGAGGGTCAAATTTGACACGATTCCAATATGTTCCATTTTATATACATAACAAGTTGGAAAGTAAAAAGGAGTCACTATATTGTGTCTGTATAAAGCAAAGTAAAATTAACAACACAGTTTCATAGGAATTAAAAATAAAAAAGAGTCGGAGTCGGTGGATTTTTTAATGACTATGACTCTGACTAAAGCACCAAAATTCCATGACTCCGACTCCATAGCCCTGTTATAAACAATTTTTCCAGTAAATTCCAAAAAAATGTTGACATGTTGTTATATTATGCTGTAAATACATCTAAATTGTATTTCAAATAATAATGGAAAGTTAAAAGATAATTTTTATCTTATTTAATGAGTTTGGAATTGTCAGAAATTGATTGTAATTTAGATTTGAGAGTATAACATTTTTGTAATTATTGTCATTATTGATGATGTAGAAAGTTAGTTAATACTTGATTACTTTTTTTTTCACTTTGCTTTGTTCATTAGCGCATACTGTAACTCAGTGGAACTATGTAACGGATATGCTCCTGTAATGCTCACTGCAGGGCAGGACTTTGTACCTTGTTTTAAATGTACAATTAAACTAATGAATGAATGAATACTTGATTACTTAATACTTTTTCCTGTATTTTAAATAGTTTGAACTTTTTAACCTTACAGTATATGATAAAAATTTCAAGTTTAGAAATATACTTTGCTTTATTATTAAAGAAAACTTTATGCTTTACTGGTGATGATTTTTTCTTGAATAGTAATGTTTATTACAAATTTTGAATAAATATAGTAGATAAATAAATTTTTATAATTTTTACACTTTAACTAATTCCATATGTAGATAATTTTTTTGAATATGTTTAGAGAGTTTTGGTTAATTTTTTGTAACTCTTTCAATTGTACAGAATTGAGATTTTAAACTTAATTTAATCACAGTTATATTATTTCATTAAATTATTTGTAATTTGTTTATTTGTTTTATATAAAGGGATGTATACAAAATAATTTGATTTATAAGATTTTAAAAAATGCATTATTTTAAATAAATAAATACATACATACATACATACATATATACATACATACATATTTATAGATTATATAATTATTTTAATCAATATAATTAATTTTAGTACAAGGAATTAAAAGAAGATGTTAACAGTGTATTTGAAAGAAGCAAAGAGATAGCAAATATTCTGAATGGTGTAAGGAAATTTTTTTAATTTATTAAATTAAAAGTTTTATTTTATTTAGAATACTATTTAATGGTTCATGCTTTAATCTTTTTTTAGTTATATACTCCATTAAACATCTACATAGCATTAGTTGGTGTCATTACTTGGACAGAAAAAGATCCCATTAGCATGTCGCCTGATGGAGATGCAACATTAACAAATTTTCTACATTATCGTCGTGAACGACTAGCAAGAGAACATCCAAATGATAATGCTCAATTGATAACGTGAGTAAAATGTGAAATAATTTTAAAAATTACTTTTCTTTTGTATGTTATCAAATTAATTAATGAAATTTTATTGTATTAATTAATGTAATTTATATTGTTAATTAGAGAGTATAAAATAAAGAAATTAAAAGAAAAGTTTTATTTTTAAATATTAAAATACGTTAGAAGTCACAATTTTCAAATTTTTGTTAAAAATACATTGTAGTTACAATTATGAAATTAATGAAACAAAGTATAAATGAAAAAAATGGAATATTTGAGAGGAAATCATTAAATTGCATTGAGTCAAAAATACAAAATGATGCTCTCAATGACAGTTTTTTAAATATTTTATTTTACTTATACATTTTTATAAGTAAATGCCAATTTACAATCAAATAATATTAATAGAATATAGAATAATAAATGCCAAAATAACAGATATTATCAATAAATAGAAAGAAATGTAGATTAATGTCTTTAATTTAATTTTAATTAAATTTTAATGTAGATTATGTCTGTAATTTTTTTTTAAAACTCTTTCTGCCCTGTGGGCACTAAAAGGGTCTCTTTAAGCAAGCCCATTATGGGTTTGGCCAGGTCCACAATTGGGTGGCCGGGTAGTGAGGGATGGGACCCGACATATTCAGACTGACCACCCCTGAGAAATTCCTGGGGATTTTTCACCCCGTTTGTATTCGATCCCAGGTCCCCAGAGCGGTAGGCTGCCATCTTGACCTCTTGGCTACCCAGCTGTCTCTGTAATATATTTGATATTTGAATAGCACCTAAAGTTGAGATAAGTTTGGAGTGGTAATTTGGCTGATATTGCTCTTGGCAGGAACGATTATCTTAACAGATAGAATAAATACATGGTAAATAAAGTAATTTCTGTAAATAATTGTTGATTTTACTAAGAAACTTGACAATGTTCAATGACGTTGTTAGAATTCATCACTTAGCCGTTATTTCCTGTGGAGAACTATGATTTGCTAAAATAAACAGTCAATTTTTACATAGTTCTCTGAGAGGCCTATACAGTAAGGAAAAATTGGAAATTACTTGCAGTTAACTGTATGAATTTTGGTTTCCGAAATATGAGAAATTTTCTCATCTTTTTGAATATGGTGCCAAGTTTAAATGTTAGTTTTGTTATTTCTAGCATGATCTCAAAATTCAACGAAACTGCAAAAACATTTGCTTGAACTCAAATGGCATTTGTGCAAATTTTGGACCCTGTTGTGCTGTCATCTTTTGAGAAAATTTAAAAAATAAAAAATTTTTGACTAAATATTTTGAATGGAGCTAATTGGATATTTCTAATGTTTTGGTTATTGATAGCATATATGACTATCATTATTCTGCTTTAATTTCAATTCAGTTTCTTTAATCCTTTCAAAGTTATGCATATTTATAATTTGTATTATTTTCTTACTGTTTTTGGAAGACTTGGCACTACTAAATGAGGTACATCTGTTTTTTTTCTTAAAGAATCTCTTTTAATATCAAAACAATTATTTTTCATTTAAAAAAATATATTTTTTTGAATTTTTGTTAAACAAGAATAGTAGCAGAAGGAGTTGCAATTTTTGTAGTTCAATTAAGATAGGATGGATATTCATATAGTTAACCAGTAGTACTCTTTTTCCACTTTAAAATACAAGCTTAAGTTGTAGCGACTAGAGTGAAGCATACATATGTCTTTCATGGTTTTTGGAAAAGTTATGACAACAGATAAAAATGTGTAGTGTGTAAAAGATTCTACACAGTTTTCTTAAAGATGCTTTTGATACGTTTAAACAAAGGAAATTTGTTTAATTGTTAAATGGATAAATTTCTAATTTTAATTTAAAATAACCACATCTACTTTCAAATTGATTTTTAAACACAGATAATCTGCAGGTTATTCACAGGAAATTATAGTACTGTCTTTATAAATATCTTATATATAAGTTTTATGGTACTGTCTTTCATATTTTTAATCAGTTATATATAAAATTCCAGTGAATGCAGATCATTGTTATAGTTAATGTGAATATTTTACTTGTTGAATAATACTAAGAAAAATAAAACTACTTTAATATTTCAGAATTTATTTTGATACAGATTCATATGATAAATATAAGGGCCAATCATTTAATTCCCAGAATAATGCTAGATTTTTAAAAAATATTTTTATCTTTTACATTTTCTGAAGATTTGTCCTGCTCAAAATACTTTATGTTCATCTTTATGGATGTTGTTCATTTTTGGGCAGATGTCAAAGAATTTTTGAGGCTCTACATGCCTTCTTGCCTTTCAGAACTTTTTCAATCATGGAAACTGAAAGAAATCACTTTGGGCTAATTCCAGTGAATATGTAGGATTGGCAGGACCTCAGCCTCAGTTCAGTTATAATATTGGCTTCACAATATTGACAGTGATCTAGAGTAGTAAAGCAATCTGTTTATCATGATTACATTGGCAAGTTTTTGTACATTTTTCACAAACAGCATGTGAAAGTGTCATTCTTAAAAGCTTGGTTTATGCTTCTTTATTCAGAGTTCTTTCTCAGACATGTAAAAATATGTAAATACATATTTTGTGCTCTTGAGAAACTCCAATGAAACAAGAGCTATGTTTCTCTACATGGTCCTTGCTTTAAAGTGATCAGCAAGAAGTTATAATGATATTAAAAGATGAGCAAACAAAACTGAGACTAAAAGGAGTTAATATCTATGATTCACAAATTAGAATCTGATTCTTATCTAAGGACACTGGTCCTAAGACTTCAGAACTGACATGTTTTCACAGAAATTTACATAGGAAAAACCATAGGAACAATTTCATTAATTAAATGATCAAGTGATTATGTATTTTCTCATTTAATTTAATTGTTTTGATATTCATAGATGCTTTTGATTTATCTATTTGTTAATTTCACTTAATTCATATCTTATATTTAATTTTGATATAATTTTTTATTCATTTATGTAGGGCAATGACATTTGATGGAGGAGTTGTTGGAAAAGCATTAAAGGGACCAATCTGTACTTATGAATATTCTGGAGGAGTAAATATGGTATGAATATTTACCAAAATATTTCTGCAAAACTGGCTGGAATAGTTTTTGCTTTTGCAATGCACTGTACAAAGCATGTGAACATAACTTTAATTTCATTGCATTAACTAACTGTACCTTCAGTTTTTTATTTTAATTTATTTTCTACCTTTTCCTTAACATTCTTCCTCAATTCTTAATCTGTCCCTTTCCAGTAATTACTTTCTTGCCATCATCTGACTATCCTGTTTATTCTGGATCCAAATCTTCCCAAAGAAGCTTCTTAATTTCCTTAAAGGGCAATGCCAGAATAGCTTTGTTCCATTTGTATTATTACATTTGTAAGGTGAGCCTTCATTATAATTAGTTACAGTTTTGCATGATCTTATAATTCCTTCTTGTTTAGTATGCATTTGCACTTTAATATCACTATTAAGTTAAAGAATATTGTTTTATTTCTCAGTAATTTTTAATTGCAGTTTTATATTTTTTTAATTATATTCTGATATTTAAAATTGATAATAAGTTTAATATTAATTGCAAAAACATATTGAACATATCAAATTATACTTCTAGAAATTTATAATTAATATTGAAATTGCCAAATTATTCCTGAAATTTTTTTAATTATAAATTAATTATTTAGTTCACATTATTTAAGTTAATAGAAGAAAATGTCTATTGAATATATCATGTAAATTTCCATAAATTTTATAAAAGAACAATTCTACAAGTTAAAGTTATTAAGGTTTAAATTGGATGTGACTGAAACATTTAGAGCCAGAAATTATCAAATAATAGAAAAATTACTTTACTGAAATGTAAAACTTGGAAACAATTCAAATTTCAGTACTTTTGGACTTTCATTCATATCCAGGAAACACCCAGGAATTGTAATTCTTTCATTTATTTGCATACTTGCAGTTCTTAGTATTTTTAAAAGTAATGAAATGTCTTCTAGTTTTAAACATTTTAATCTATTTATATTTTCAAGGAATAACTTTTAGAATAAATGAACAATTTTTAAAATTATAATAAGACATTACATTAAGACATTGACATTAGACTCTTTTTTACCCAGTTTTAGAAATTTAAAAACTTGAATCTAAATATGTTGGTTTAAAACTTAATTTCTTAGTATGATTTCATGATTGCAAGAACTAATACATTCATATGATCCTCAAAACTGTATTGTTAAGGATCTTACTGCTAAAATAGCTTAATATAAAGGATGTTTTACAGCCTCTCCACAAAGATTTTTTTGAATAGCTTTTTTGAAAATTTGAATTTTTTAATGAAATTTTCAGCAAAGATGGAAGATGAGAAAGGAAATTAATGCAAGATATTTTCGAAATGTCTGCCCTCTGTCGAGATGCAGTAGTGCAGTCTCTCTTGGAAATTAGCAATCACATTACTACAGGTCTGGTCTGAGATGCCCTTCATGATGCTCTCGATGCTTTCTATCATCTGAATGAGGGTGGTAGGGTTATTCTTGAACACCTGATCCTTCGTGTATCCCCAAAGAAAGAAGTCTAGTGGACTGAAATCAGGGCTGTAAGGTGGCCAGGCGAGGCCACATTTGAATGTCTCTGGATAGTCATGACTATGGTTCTTTCAGGAGTTGAAAAGTTTTTATAGGTACTAGACCACTTACGACAGAACAAAGTTGGGTTTTCTCCTGACTGGTACCAAAATTTTATCATATTCGCACGGTCTTCAATTGAATATTGGAACATTTTGCCAAAAATTATGGAAAAATCAAATGTTTTGAAGCAATGTGCTTTTGTGATAGAAGCAATTCCTTTTTGCTCAAAGCACCACCTACAAAAAATTGAGACTGAAAACCGTGTGGTTCAAAAGCTATTCAAAAAAACTTTGTGGAGAGGCTGTGAAACATCCTGTATATATATAAAATTGTTTATTGAATATGATTAGATTTATTCTTTGAAAGTACTAAATAGATTAAAATGTTAAGATTATTTATTTATTATCTGTATGATTTAAATTGTAAGTTTGCAATTAATAAACTCACATGTACTGTACTTTAAAAACATTACAAAAAATAANTTAAAAAAGTAATTTAAACTAACTAACTAAATTTATTATTTTAATACAGTTTAATTATTAAAGGTGATTTTATCTAATTTTGATGTAAAAATTTAAATTTAAATATTGATTTTACATTATTTTAAAAGCAAAAATTAGAACAAGCTTTAAATAAATCTGAAACAAAGAAATATTGACAGTATCTTTAATACATATTTTAGTTTATACTTCTTGCCAATGGTATATACTGTACAAGGTGGTCCTATTCAAAATTTGGTGTTAAAGCTAATTGAGATGATATTATCTGGATTGATAGCTAACTTAATGAGAATGTAGGAAAGCAATTGAATCATTGGTGTAGCTAGGTCTTGTATTGTTCAGAACTGTCCTTGAGCTTGCTGCCCCATGAAAAATTTAACATAATGTGAATTAAACATACTTAGAGAGGAAGTGAAAAAATTGTGTAACGACAGGTAAAAATTTGAAAAAAAAAATGTTAGGATGCTGTTACCATTGTTGTTATAAATTAAGCACAACTAAGTATTTAAGTAAGTTGATGGTCAATAAGGCTACATTACAAATTTCTCCGTATCGTAAAATTGTAATTCTAAATTGTAAAATTATATTGTCAAAAATATAATCAATTTTATTTAAAAACTTAATAAATAGAATGCGTTAACTCAAATC